CAGGCACAACCCAGCACAAGGGCTAGCTGCAACCAAAGCAATAGCCAGGACACCTCCTCCTTGTGGCCTCAGTGCACAAGGAGAYTGGGAAATGGCAGCATGACCTTGAGGCCTCCTGCACAGGGCTTTTGCTGGTGGTGGTTCTGGCTCCCACAGCTCTTCCTGTACTTTACAGTGGTTATTTGATAATGTTTTCTAAAGAGAAAGCAGCCACGCTGCCTTCTGCAGGAAGTCTCGGCCTTTGGTGATTTCAGATTTCTTGGCACTGCTGATTTCAGAGCAGCCCAGAGCTCCCCAGCTTCGTGGTCACCTCCTCCGCACACAAATTCCCAGTCTGTTCGCTCAGAGGAAATGCTTCCTTGTTGCTCTCTTCCTGCCCTAACAAGTTCTGGGCAGGCTTTTCTTGCCACCTTGGTTCACAGAGCACTGATGCACTGCGCAGCCCTTGCCCCTCACCTGGCTGCTCGAGTCACGTTTCTCTCCTCCCYGCGTCGCTCCACTCCTCTGGGCAGACACCAGCCAAGGGTCGAAGTGCGAGGGAGGGATTCCCAAGCTGTGACCACGTGTGCCGGGAGAACGGCTCCTCGCCTGGAAAAACACCTATCGCAGAACCCGCGGGACCAAATTATAGCTGTTCCTCATGTCCCCCTGGGAGAAAAGACAGGCCGAGTGGGAACCCAACCCCTGAGGCTGAGCCACATTTCTGCTCAGGGTTTAACTTGTGCCCTCTCAATCTCATCTTCAACCTGACTTTGCTGCCACTGGAAATGCAGTTTGAGAGCACGCTGGCACACGGCTTAGCCTAATCAGAGCAGCGAGCTAGCACGCTTCCCAACAACTTCTCMATGTATTTTGCTTACGGAACAGTTTGGATTGTCTCAGAGTAACTTTGTGCTTTTATCGTGAGTCCCAGGGAGACGGTGAGAAGATGAAAAGGGAGAAAAAGGAAGAAATTGCATACATAAATTCTTGAAATGAAAGACTCTGCTTAAGGAAGCAAATGACCTGGGGTAGACAGGCTAAATCCTTAGTGTCCTTAGTGTCTAGCAAGCCCCTTCTAGGAGCTTTCCCTACTTTTCTCATGCAATGTTTAATGGAATATTATTTTTTTTTTCAAAAGGAAAATCTTAAATAAAAAAAAAAAAAATACCAAGCAGGGAATTAATACGAAGTGTGAGAAATATAGTCACTCTAACTCATTATGAATGAATTTTTTTATACTACCTCTGTACTATTTCTWTTCACTACGTATTTGTGTTCTTTTTCTCATAGGGCATTATTTCTTTTAATTAAAAATTAGCTGTCAGTGTCAATTATACAGATTAAAGAAGACTGACAAAGAGTTTTCATTCTTCTTGGAAAATGATACTGAAAACTAAAAACAGTGAAAAAAAATCTTTCAGATTTCTTTTTTTTTCATCATCCCTTTCAGTTCACTAAATGAATAGTAACTGAGTAAGTCCTCTCCAGAGGCTTATTTTGCTTTATTGCCCTACATACAGTCTCATGCTTTATTTCCCAAATAATATTCTTGCATCATGTGGAGGACAGGACATAAATTTCTTAATGAATGTTTTATTTTAACCTCAACAATGCAATGTCTGAAAAGTCGCTAGGTCTATTATTCCACTTTTGCATCTGATGTGTTAGAAGCGTGCTCTGATATGTGGTAGTCAACTTAAAATTATGAATGCCTTTTGCTTTTGCAGAGAATTTTGCGTCTGTTTTTTAGAAGAACTTCCATACCCTTCATCAAAGCCATGAATGCTCAGCTCTTCTTCAGACTGGGACTGGGTGCTAAAATGGGAGCATGCCCTTAATACGTGTGATTTATTGTGAGTATTCTTGTACTGCACAGGAGACCTCGGGTGCAGGCAGGGAGAGGCTGCAGCTGCAGCAGCAGCCTGGCCGAGCTCCCTCTCTGCTCCGTGCACTGCCCGAGTCAGGCAGCGGCCGCTGTACAGCCCGGGCACTGAGGCAGGCAGCGGGCTGGGGCAAAAACAGAATGCGACCATGGATCACAACGGGCCATTTATCCTTTTTTTTTTTTTTTTAACTTAATGGTCAACCTTAGTGTTCTTGAAATCTAATCCCTCTTCCCTTGTTTCTCCAACCAAAAAAAAAAAAAAAACCACTGCTAATTAATAGAGCACAGGTTGCTCTGCTGCTGCCCATGTAACTGCATCACAGAGCTGTGTTACACCATCCCCAGCAGCCCTTAAATCTACTCATCAGCAAGTTTACATCCTTTTAAAGGCCTGAACAGACCAGACCTTTGAGCTAAGAAATAATGAATAACAAGAGAAACAAAAAGCTGCCATCCTTACRATGAGAGGAATTGCTGTTATTGTTTTGCATCTACTTATCAGAGCAGTTTAGTGACAGCAGGAGGACACCAAGGCCTCACGTGGGTCAGCTTGCTCTGTCCTGTGCTACCTTGTGCTCACTAGGTACAGCAGGAGCAACACCCAGGACCTACAGACAACCTCTTGGCCGRGTTTCTGGTCTGGAAGGTTCCACCACTTTTGGATGAAGGGGAAAACAATTAGAGTAAAATCTCACCTAGCCGGGGCAGCAGGTCAGGGCTAGGGGAGCCCGGTTTAGCTTGGAAGGATTTGGAAGCAGCTTRGAGGAATTGCCACAGGAAGCCCAGGACGCTTATCTCAGGATGCAAAAGGTGAAAGTCCTGGCAGATCTCAACTCCTCGTTCCAAAGTATGRAAGAACTAGAGCTTTTGAACAAAACCATTTAAATAATTTAAGATAAAGAAAAAAAAAAAAACAACAAAACTTTTCTTTTTTTTCCTGACCTTGTTCTTAGGAATAGCAGAATGAGTCTTGGTTAAGTTTTCCAAGAGATTTCAGGCTGCAGCAGACAACCAGCACAGAAGGTGATAGCTGGAACAAAGAGGTCTGACAAGATAATGAGCTACTTCAAACAAAATCTTGCAGTTCACCACAAACATACCCTGCCTCATTAAATAAAATGCATGCTTTCACTGTACGCAGTTCATTAACATCTTATAAAAGCATATCAAAAGAAAGCATATGCAAAGCATTGAGATCACCTTTATAAGCAATTTTTTTTTTTTTCCTGAAATTCTGCTGAGAGTTGCATCACCACAGAGCTTGCCTACTGATCTCTCTAAGCTGAGTTGTCCCTGACACATCCTAAGGGAACAAACCGATCTCATCATTTTAGAAGGCTGTTCATTTTTACATAGAGACATTCACACTCCGCTTGCTGGTCGTTTTAAGCAGATATATTCCACTTATGTGTTTATTCTACAGTTTTCCGTTGGATTCAGCATTTTCACAGAAAGCAGCACCTCGGTGGGTCTGCCCTGCAGTGTTCCAAGAGCTCATCCTCCCTCCCTCCCCAGCAAGTACACCAGATACTCATCATCATCATTGCAAGAACTGTTAATTATCTAAAATAAGTTACAGGAATGGTATAAAATAAAGGCATTCAACACCAAGCTATGGAGCTCATTTGCTCTCCCCCTTGACCAATTTTACARGAGTCTTCTTAAATTTGATGCTCATTCAGAGTGTCACACGATTCACATTCACCTTATTGCAGAGGATATTTGGATCTCAGACCGTGGCATCCAGTAGTCAGTCAGTCAGGAGTGACCAACATAACACTTGTTCCAAATGGAATTAAAGCAAAAGTTCCTGCGTGCTGCTGTAAGAATTAACGGGGCTTCTGGGGCTTCCTATCTCAGTTCATCTCCCTATGATGAGTGGRGGAAAAAGAAAAGGAAGACTGTTCATACGGAAGCAGATTTGCATCTTTTCCAACTCTGCAATAATTCAGATCCAGGCTTCCAGTCAAGGTTTTTTTTTTTTTTGTACATCCCATTTAACAAATTTAAAACACCACACCAAAAATCAACAAATGAGAAAGGAAGGTGAAGGCCATGGCAGTTTATTTGGGAAAACTGTGCTTGTCTGATAATGCTGCATGTATACATATCACAGCTTAATTTCCCCTGGACAYGTACACTTCATTAGGACTAGTCTCCTAAAATACTTCAGCTAGACCAAGATCAAATTCTGAACTGGTCTTAACACTTCCAGGGGGCTTGAATTTGACTGCAGTCTGACCTAAATACTGCAAAGATATTTAATAAAACAAGGCCTGGCTTAAGCAAACACAAGCCATGGAACTCAACTCAGAAGCAGCTCATCGCTATCTCAAATGACTGAACTACATATGGGAAGTTGGAGTTCTATATGGGAAGCAGTGAGCTCTGAATGTAGAAAGGGGCATCATGAAGAAAAGGAAGAGCAAGTCAGCCCTGGGACCATGGTCCACGTTTTGTTTCCTGCAAGTTGTCTTTTGCAGCATTTTTTTGCAAGCCTGCAAATGGTTTCTTTCCTCACTGATTGTCCTTTCTTTTACAAATACTATTTTTTCCCCACTTCATCATTTTGTATTCTTTCTTTGGCTACACGTTAGCAGCCCTACTGTATGCAAAGTGCTCAAAATAGCAATCTCAAAGCATTTGGGGATTAATCTCAAAAGCAAACCACATCCTTAAATGTTTTCCTTTAAGAGAGTGGCGTGGGATCCAGCTAGAGGAATTGATATGATCTAGTGGCAGAGCTGAACCTTCTCCAACACAGGTGAGGAATGATTCATACCGCAATGTAACTATCACAACTTCATTTTCCAGGCTTTTGTTTGTGTAAGCTACTTGTGATTAATTCAATTAAAAACAAACAAAAAAAGTAAACATTTTGCATCCTTGGGAGGTGTTGTTATTGTTTTTAAGAGAGGAAAAAAAAGATAAGATAAATAAAACCTCTCAKACTGACCTACAAGAAGGGACACGAATAGGTTAAACACAAACTTCAGACTTATTTCAAGGGAAAAAAAGTCAGAAAACTCTTTAAAAAGATAGTATTTATGTATATATAAATGCACCCTGCTTGTCAAAAATACTTGTASAAAAATTAAGACAATTGTTAATTCTTGAGTGTTATGAACATAGAAATGCCACCTGTTTTCCAAGTCACTTCAGTCAGGACTGATTTCAGATCATTTATGCTACTGAACATCCCTGAAAATCTGTAACTTAGTAAACTAATGAATCACAGTGGAGTCTCAATTCAGTCAACTGGCAATGTAGATGCAGGTCTGAAATTAAATTGAATCAGCAACTGACCAATTAGCAGATCATTTCAAACTTAAAAAAAAAGAGTTCTACCCACTTACTCTACTCACATCCCCTTGATAAGCATCATTTTCTAGGCTAGATCTTCAAATTTTCACTCACACTAATGTTTTGTATCACAAAACCTCTCAATATGATATTCTTTCAGGAAAGGGGATTTAGTGGTGTTGCATTTTTGTATATGTGCTTAACGTCCTAGTACACAGAACTAAGATGCTAATGATCCTAGTATACAGAACTGTAACAAGAAGTCTCCATTTTCAGGGAAGGTGTGAATTTATTTTAAATTCTCTTTTTTGAGCCCATGTTTGCTGAAAGACAGAACTTGCTGTGCAAACTAGATGGCAGCTGATTTCTTTCCAGTCAATATGAGGTTTCATAATCAGTTCCTGTCATAGGCATCAACCCTTCATTCATTCACTCATAAAAATGTGACTTACTAAAAAAAGGAAAAAATAGAGTCTAAAGGCACAGAATCACATAGCTGCTCTAGTAGGAATCTGTAAACAGAGAATTGTTTGAATTTAGGAAATCCAAATCTAGGAGAGTAAAAAGGCATCTGAAGCAGGCGTTTCCCTCTAGCCAGCTTCCTTAAAGACCCAAAGGGTTTTGAGGTCTACAAAGTATGCACTAGAATACCATGCTTCAAAAAGCAATAAGGCAAATAGTATACTCATTATTTCGAGAAAGTTACAATGGTAGTGTCGGCATACACAGTATAACTTAGTTACAATGCGTGGTACTGTTTCTACTACACAGCCACACAGCGGTTTCCTTTCTACATAATCAGAGTAAGCTGAGCTTCCAGGTGAGCACAAAACCATCCTCGTACCACCACCTACCACTGGCAATATCTCCTCAACAGCAGCAGCGTGTGGTCTGCTGCTGAAGTCCGTTCCACACTGAGGAAAGTTCACAGATGCAAGTTCAGAGATTAAACACTGTCATACTTGTGAAGGGCTTCTTCCAACTTTTGTGTCACTTTTTGAAAAAAGAGTATTTGCTGTTGCAAGAAATGCTGCATCTGTGATTTGAAGTCCCTTACACGGATTTTGTGGAAATGATTGATTTCTGCTAGGGTTGCGAAAGAAATAATGTTACAGCGTTCTTGAATGCCCTCCGCCTTCTGGAGCTCCATCTTCCCTTCCTCCACGTGCCGCTTGCTCTCCTTCACTTTGGTAAGGGCTCCTGCGTGAAGGACAGAACAAAACAGTTGAACTGGGAGGACAGGGCTGAACTGAGCACTGCGTTTTAACAAATGGTCTAATACACACACACACACACACACACACATACTATACACTATGCTGTTTTTACAATTACAACATTAAAATCTGTGGCATAAAGATTTCACCATTCTTGATATTATGTTTGGGAAAAAGAAAACTAGAACAATGATTAGCTGCACAGATAATCAGCCGTTGATTCGATTAGCTGTCAAACACTAAATGTCCCAAGAATATATTTAAAAAAATCCATAAAACTCTTTTTTATAGGAAAACATAAAGAGCTGACACAAAGGTGACATTTAAGCACATAAGGTTTCACAGATAAAACAGGCTTGTAAAAGAGAAGTCACTCAAATTACATTCTAACTACACAAAGGCTGAATGATCATTATGCCAGGGAACATAAAACAGAGAATAACTGTAAAACTGACTTGCCCAGGTCTTCARTTTACCAGCTCAGAGTGAAGAGTACGACCCTGAAGATTATTTTAATGATAATGCTGAAACACAATAAATGCAAAAAATCACAGGACAGGGGATGTTGTCAAAAAAACTGCATTTTTTTTTWAAAAAGACCTATCTTGCAAACACTACTGAAGAAAAATTATTTCCATTTCACAATCTTAAAGATCACATGGTGTACTTTAGAGAAAGACTGATAAATATACTAGCAGTGGAAAAAAATTAAAGCTCTAGAAAACTAGTCAGATGGATTTAAGCCTATGTAAACACCATAAAAATAACCTCATGCAGAAATCTGACTTTTAGTAATGTGAGACATCAAAATGAGATCTGAAAACACAAAATCTGACCAATCCAGCATTGTGCTTTTACTTTGCAGATACCCCAAGATTAGTCACTTTGTACCACAGAACCTGGAAGCTTATTTCAAAGCTGTAGGAGTSTGGGTGGAGGTAACAGAGGCCTGCAGGAACGAACAGAAAAACAAAGCAAAGCAAAACAAAAACCGTACTGCCTCTTTTCCGACAAATAGCTGATTAAAGAGCCCACATCTTACAAAAACAGAAGAGTGCCAAAACCAGGCTCAAATACTGACACAGAAAATGTGTCCTAGACATTCCTTTTTATAGACTTAATTTCCCCAAATTGSGGAATTGCAAAATATTACATATATACTTTATACACAAAAAGACCAGCACAGCTTTTATCTTCTCACAAAATGTTGATCTTATGATGTTTTTCACAGCCTTTACGATCACACTTAGCTACTTGTTCCTTCACCTATTTGTCACGTCTCACGTAACTCTGTGCTTTCCTATCGCAGACTGTGCGCCACACAAGAGACTCGGTTTGCCTACACGACTCCCTTTAGATTTTCTTGAAAAAATGCTTTTCTGTGCTCCCTCCCACCAGCAGAAACCAGTCACCAAGCCAGCCTCCCTGCCGGCACATGTTTAGGGGGGACCATGTCCTGTCCATCTGCTGGCAGAGACACGCTGGCAGCCCGAGGTCTCCCAAGGGTGCCGGGCATTTCGCCAGGCCACACACGTCACCTTTGGCACCGTCGTTAATGTCTCACCAGGAACAAGCAGGAATTGAGGATCAACCTGCTCTCACACTGGAGCCAAGCCAAACACCGGACGACTCGGTCCACTTGGGGAACGGAGTTTGCTTCATTTTTGTAAGGGAGTAGGGGCTTGCGTCGTGTGTGACATGCGGAATGCTCAGAGCAGAGAAGCAGGCAGGAGTTTCCTTCATTAACTCTCTAGCAATGACTTCATAACCGAGGGCAGCTGGCTTGTTTTCCTCTTGCTTTAATAACCAACACTCGGCAAACATACCCCTCGTACCAGTACGGCCCTGCCCTGAAACCCATGTTCTCCCCTCCTGAACTTGCACGGAGGCTGCACCCCACGTGGCWCCTTCTCCATCCACCGTCCCACCTGGAGCCAAGGAAATTCCCCTTGGCGGAGCTGTGTTTGCAGAGGGCCCCACGGCCCCCGGCACCTACACTGTCCCGTTTCCGAGGCTGCTCCATCCAGCTCAGGGTGCCCRTGGCACCGCTCCCCACGCGGCCCCTGGTGCTTGGCGCCGCTCAACGTGACCCTCCTGCCGCCCCGCAACGCGGYGGGAATCTCCCGCGGGAGCCCAGTGAGCGACGGGCCGCGAGCCCGGCCGGGAGCCCCTGCTTGGGACCGGCAGCCCCCGGGCACCTCCAGGCACAGACAGGARCGGCCTCTGCAAACATTCTCTCCGCAGTTTGTTTGCATGGCAGGAATTCATGCAGAACTGTGGAAAAAACAACAATAAATAAAACCTACAATTTGGGATTTACTGAAAGCCAGATGGAGTTAAACAAATATGACAACTCTTGAGCTCTGATGTGGGGAAAGAGCTTTAAATGTTTTTTCTAGGATGACCAAACTGGAAAAAAATTGCTGGAAMTTCACAGCATCAGCAGCTGAAAGTATAATTCATTTTTTGGGGGTCTGTATAATCTTTGAATTATTTTACAACTATTTTAGCAAACATGAAAACCCTCCACCATAGAAATAGTGTTACACCTTTTTCTGACATTAAAGATACATGATTAAGAAAAGGAATCCAGGGGGAAAACTGGCAGCCACTAACACTGTTGTATTAATGTGCAGAGACTCATGCTGATTCTACAGTGGAACTTCATTTTTAAAATCAATATAGGTTACAACAGAGGCCAGCTAGGGATGACATGAGTTTACACTTACACTAAAGCATTAACTTGACTGCTTTTTGAAGCACTTCTAATTCCAGCATTGGGTTATTTGTGAAACAGTGTAGAAACAACAGAGAAATTGGTTTTGGCAAATTAAATCATTTGATGGTTTAAAATACCATCAGCATCTATTTTAACCTGTCTTGGCCAACAGTGTTGCTAGTTTGCACAGCTTTGTCATTAGCTTTACTAACAGTAATGTAACATCKTTCATTACAATTTTTCTCAGACTGCATCTGTAAGCTGCAACCCTTTTATCTGCATCTGCATGGGAAAAGCTTTGAGCCTTAACAGAGATTCACCACCTTCAAGGATGCAGCAACCCAAGCACATGCAAGTGAAGAGCATTTGAGGCTTGTGACACTGACATACTCTTTATTTTTCCCTCACAGCTGTGATTTGCAACACTGGTTTCCCCAAAACTAGGGGAATTAGAAGTTCCAGGGAGCACACGTCAAAAGGCTTTTAAATGAGAGACCTGTTTCCAAGACTCAGCAGGTCAATGTTTCTCATTGCAAGAGAGGGGAGAAGGGCGAGGGAAAGGGGCAAAGAGAGCAGCTGCCTCCGTGCAACCCGGTGCGAGAAGGACGCAGCGAGTGCCGGGACTAGTGCCCCACAGCCTGAGGCCTGGGCCCCACAGCGCTGCGCCCCACAGCGCTGCGCCCCACGCCTCCCCTCACCCCATCAATCCATCCCCACCCTCGGCACCCGAATCCAAAGTCCTTAGTCCTGGCCCTGCCCCGAACTCCTGTTTTCCTCTGAAATGCCAAACTCCTCATGCTCCCCTTGGCACGCCCCCCATCACCCCTCCAGCTACTGAAGCTGCTCAGGCCCTGCTCTGGCCTAACTACAGCTGCTGATTTCTGGGTTTAAGGATCCTAACTAAACAAATATCGGGTTGGACAACCAAAACAACAAGGAAAATTACGATACCCTTAAAATAGCTGAAACACATTTTAAAGGACAGCAGCAGGAGCCTCCTGCCAGTGCATACCAGCTCAAGGAAATCTGCTAAATACGTGTCTGGGATAAACATCCAAGAACGCCCGCTCCAGGAGTGGCGGAATAGACGCACAATGTGTGAATTTTAATTCACACGGTAAGAATAACCCTGCCTACGCATTTAAAGCTTCCAGTCAAACCAACAGACTCCTAGATCTGGCTCCACTAATTAGGACTAGTTTTCAAGCAGCAAAGAGGGCCCGGATCAAAGATGCTCAAAAAAGCCATGCAATATCAAATCCTGTTTTAAGGTGAGGAAAAGCAGATGACAACGTTGTTTTTCACTGTCTGAAGCCTGATGTTGAACAGACACAGATGTTCACTGAATACTGTCAAAGGCTTAAGTGAAACACACAGTTTCAGCGCTTGCTTTGCTGCCCTGCAATTAGACACACAGAATTACATAAGCACATTTAATAGGGCACAGTTACAGCACAGCACTAGCAGCTGAGAAGCCACGGGCGACATCCAACTCCGGAGAGAAGTAAGCGGAACTGGAGCGGCCGGGAGCTGCCGGCGGGCTTGGGCAATGCGACAGGGAAGCAGCCGCGGCCCGGCCGCCCCGGCACCGGCACCCACAGCCAGCGAGTGGGCCAGAAGCCTCTCCCTGCTGCACGTGCTGCTCAGCGCTGCACGGAGCTGCGCGTGCTGCAGGCAGGAGCAGAGAAAACCCCAACAGAGACGAGCACAGAGCTGGGCAGCTCATCGGGAAACAGCCCCTTTTTGCTCCGTGTTTGCACAGTGCTCAGCACAATGGGCATCTGTTCCGYGGCTGGGCTTGCTGGAGTCCTAAAAAACAAAAGCAGTAATGAGAGATACTKTTTACAACTGCATCATTCTTTTCTGAAATACATCTGAGAAACTGCTGTGGCAGCAGTAACTTGCCTGCAGGCAGCAATATTGAGTATGGGGAGGAACACGGGATCAAACACAGCCGAGCGAGCTCAGCATCCTCCCTAAAAGACACTGCGACAGCAGCAAGTGCCTTTGCGGTCACACAGGTCTGCAATTCACAGGCCCCTGCTAAGCTGGGAATGTAGCAACATCTTCACTATCTCAGTCCAAAATACCGAGTTTCCAAGCTCACCTGCCTGGTAAAAGCCAAGCGGTTAATTGGCAGGGTCCTATCACCCTTTCATGACTGCAGCTCTCAAGTGTTTCTTGCACTTTGGTGACTGCTGGCACCTCCACTGGTGCGGTGGCAAGCAGCAGCCCTGCTCCCAAGGGATGCGGAGGGGACACGT